CTTGCCCAAGAAGCAGGCTGGGAGCACGGGACCGAGCACCACAGGGACGGCCCTGGGTCCCTGGGTAACACAGAGACCCCACAGACCCGCGCAGGGGCTGCGGCAGCACCTCCTTCCCCAGCCCAGCCCTTGTCCCCGCTCCCTGGGGACAGCCAGGACAAAAGACGGAGCCTTTTGCTAAATTTCCTGAGAAAAGCAGCAAAGACCGACCATTTCAGGCTGTGTTTTATGCTGGGCCGCGTTTCCCCTGGCCGCCAGCTGTTTCCTATGAATACAATGAACCGAAAACTATGGGGCTGCTGAGCAAATACATGCGCCGAGATGTATTGTGGACTTCAGGGGAAAAGGTACGAGTGGGGAGGGGAAAGCCGAGGCGGCGCCGCCCTCACCCCGACTACGGCCACATTGTTCGAGCGAGTTATTTTGGGAGCCCTGTTTGAATGGGAACGGGCACGCACACGCCTGAAACAAAAGCTTCGAGAGCATTTGATTTTTCCCAGTGCCGTTTTGGGGGGCTATTTCTGCTTCCAGCCTCGCCAGCGGCCTTGGAGGCTGCTCCGGGAGGAGGGTTTGCTGGGCAGGACAATAGACCCAGGAAATCCTGTATCCGCCCCAGTCGGATCCAAGAGCTGGTGAGAAATCCCACAGTAGCTGCCTGCTTGCTCCATGCAAGCGCCCGGGGTATGCGCTGACTGTAGGCTCACCCGAGACGCAGCCCCCAGCCATAGCATCCCCCTGGGCAGCCTTTCCTGGCGGGATGGGGGTACAGAGCAACCCCGGAAGGGGCCGGCGGGAGCTCGGAACTGGGATGTCCCGACGGGCACCCCTGGTTTCACGGGAGCTGGGATCCCAGGGATGGAGAGGTGCTGCCACACCGGGGCAACATCTTCCGTCCTCCCCGTTGGCCAGCCTGAGCCCGCTCCCGGCGTTTTTCTTATCTCGCACCTTATCTTGGGGTCAGCCTGTCCAGCACACGCTGCCCTTCCCCGGCCACACCTGAGCTGCGGTTAGAGCTGGAGCCGGCCCAAGCGGCACTCCCACGCGCCGTCACCCCCGGGCCAGCTCTCCCATGGGCGTCCTACCCATCCTGCCCATCCCGCCTGACGCGGCCGGTGTCACCGCCTGCTTCCCCCGGGACAGGCTGGCAAAGAGGAGACATAAATTGAGCTCAAGTGTCTGGATCGGGTGCCCGAAACCATGCCGCCCACCCGGCTCGCTGCCGGCTGCCTTCACCCCTCGCTCCTCTTCGTCCAACCTGTTTTTCCCATCCGTGATGCGGCAGCTCTGTTTGCACGGA